ACCGCTCTGAAAGGAATTTCACAGGCCCCACATGAGGAAAGTTGGTCTGAAGTCACCTTTCCAGCTCTGAATCAGATTCCCGATCCTCAGGATAGGTAAAGACACAGACACACACACACACGCACACGCACACGCGCACACACACACACACACACACACACACACACACACACACACAGGATATCTCAGCTGTGGAAACACACGCTGTCTCGCGGACGGTACCTACTCAGGCTTGACATGGGCTTGGTCACGATACCCAACCCCTGCGTGCAGCCAGGCTGTGCGCCGGTCAGGCTCGCCCTTCTTCGGGCTGGAAGCGAGCACTTAGCTCCTCCCATCAACAAACCGCACCGTCCAGAGCATCCGCCTGGCGGGACTCATTTGAGAACAAAGGGCAAAGGTGCAGAGAGATGGTGAACACTTGCTCAGAAACCAGCCGGAGTGCTATTTATCCTCAAAGTAAGATCAAGCAGCTGGAAGGCTGCTTACCATTTCTGTGTCATCCAGACTACAAAAGTAGAAATAACGTGATAGTGAATTTAAGACACAGAGTGCCCTGGGTTGTAGTGAAAGTCCGTCCGTCCACAGAGGACAGGAACATTCAGGGTCATGAGCGTGGTTTATTCAACTATTAAATATCAACACTGCATGAGGAACCAACCTTCTGTTCCCAGAACGCTTCTGTCCTGGAGCCGAGCCCCAGGCTGGCGTGACAGTGACTGTCCTCTGAGCTACCCTCTCCGTTCCACCTGGAACAGACCCCAGAGCACCCCCGGCCCCCGCACACTTTCTCATGCCGTGTCAGGTCCCCAACACGGGTCAGTGCCTGTGACGGCCTCAGAACTTAAGGGGCTTCGTGAAGCGGGCGGCCGTGCCTTCCTCTGGCGCTGGCCGTGGGCACCTCACGGCCACCGGGAAACTGAAGACGACGTAGCAAAACCTTGTTACTCTGAAGAAAGACGGTGGTAATGATAAGTCTGAATCACAAAGCTGAAAGGAAGCAACCGTACTGGGCTGACCACACGCTACCTGATGTGGTTAAGGTCTCTGACCCAGAAACATGAGGGACCATCTAGAAACCGCTGGCCCCTGCTTCTTCCGAAGTCAGACTCTGTCCCCAGCCTCTCGACGGCCCGCCCGCCGCGCCCGCCTCCACGTATTCATGCGGCTTAAGAGCTTCCTGTCCTGTCTTCTGACCCGGGCATCAGGCTGCACTTCAGCCCACACCCACTTACCGTCACCCCACCACCCAGAGCTCCTCTTACGAATATGGAAAACGGCAGAAGTACCTTTTTACTAGCACAGCCTCCCTTGAGACCCAGAACGGGGAAGGTGAGAACACGTGCACCCCCTACGGAAGGCTCATGGGCCCAGGGGCCGACTGGTCCTCAAGGCAGTGGGGTGTGGGCTCAGCCTGAGCTGCGCACAAGCACCTGAAAAGGAAGGATGTTCTTCCACGTGGAAGATGCTGAAAATCGGCCACCACGTTGGGGGCTCCTGAGAACCCCCCTCAGGGCATTCGCAAGATCCTCCCTCTTCTAGAGACACACGAGGCGAGGCCAGAACTCCCTCCGGCGTCCCCACCGGACGGCAGGTCACACCAGGCGGACCCGGAGGCAGGTGGGAACCCCGTCTTCCCCTAAGCCAGAGAGATTTGCAGAAATGCAGACGAGCCACCCTTCTCATTACATTTCTTTTGGATTTAGAGAAGAGCTATTCTTCGTTAAAACAGTGTTAACGGGCAGTGGTTTATTGCTCTTTTGAGATGAATGAGAAGCGAGTACTTTAAAGGCGCCTCGGAAAGCTTTCTAACCTGGTGAACACCAGGCTACGAAGCCCCCAGGACCGACAGCTGGAGGGCCAGCTCGCAGCCCCCCCCCC